GGGTGACTGTTTCCAAGGAGACATGAACCAACATCTATCTACTCACCCCAGATAGGAAGCCTAGGACAGACCAAAGCCCAGCTTGGTGAACTCCTGCATTGTATTGGGGCTACTTACAGTATTAGTAAGGGGTTACTACAGGAGCAGAAATGACGTATAGACATCTGCATGAAAAAGCCCTTCCCAGCATAGTGACAGCCCCCAAAAGCTGCACAGCCTTCAGGCAACTTAACAGGACAGGTTGGAGGGTGTCCTTTCCTGGTGGCTCAGCTGGTCTGAGCCTTTTCTAGACAATTCAGGTGCCAGCTTTTGGGCTAAACTGTTTCTTCCAGGCCACTTGGTTGGTCTCTCTTTCTTCCAGGCTGCTCCCTCTCAGTGTTTTCCAAGCAGCCCAGCAGGTCTGAGAGTGACTGTCAGGTCTCTTTATTGCTTATATACTCTCAGAAAGGGGGGGGGGCGAGTAAATCCAGTCAGTTTCAGGGACTTCCTGAAGCTATTTTGAGTTGTTTACTTCCTGTCTTAACTAGCTTCTCTGCAAAGATGAAGTGTTTCAAATCCCCCTAGAACAGTGGGATTTGACCTCAACCTGTGGGTCATGACTTCTTGGGGGGTTGTTTAAATGACTCTCTCATAGGGGTCGCCTAAGACCAAAGATATTTACCAGAGAAAACACAGATGTTTACATTACAAAATTCATAACAGCAGCAAAATTGTAATTACGAAGTAGTAACAAACATAATTTTGTGGTTGTGGGGTCACCACAACATGAAGAACTGCAGAAACTGTCCTAAAACAAGCATTCAGTTGTTTCCCCTCCTTATAAAGAGACTGCCCTAAATTTCCTGTTGTTTGACTTTCCATTTACACCCTATGTCTTAACAAACTTCCCTTCAAGATGGAAGGTTCTGAGAGGAAAGGGTTACACGATAACCTCCATGCCATCTTCTAAGAGGTGACATTTCCTGCGATCCTTTGTGGGACTCTAGGAAGGGCTGAAGCTAGGACCCCTTCCACACGAAGTCCCCTCTGGGTTGCAATCTTCTTGTGGGTAACACGTGGGGTGGTCTTCTAGATGAAGACAGGAGCTGATGACATCACAGGAACACCCCCAAGGTGGACAGACCAAGTCTCTGCATCCCCTGGACTCCGACTGAGACTGAAATCAGCGTGGCCCTTTGCCTTTGTAGTGAAAATGGAAAATCTGGAAGCACTTTAAAAACAACTGTCTGAACGCTATTTGTTTTTCTGTTCTCCCCGTCTTGTAACTTTAGTAATAATCAAAGCTAAAAGTTCCACTTGCTCACCTGCAGAGAAGGAGCTTAGCAGTCCTGACATCACACCCTTCACCACCCCCACTGGTCACTCCCATTTTAAGCAGATCTATGAGGCAATATTTACATAATGAGTAGTGTTTTATAGAAAGCAAAAGAGAAATGTCATTTGCTTATGTCATGCTTTTCCTGGTGATTTCATGAACCCTGTCTCTGGGGCAGATGAACAGAAATGAAGTCCCTTAGGGACACGTGCTGCTTCTGCGGCCCGGAGGCAATGACCAATGAGAAAGCAGGCTGAATGTCCGGAAGTGGCCCCGCTGATCTGGGCTGGCAGGGAATCCTGCAGCAACCTTGCAGCTTCCTGTCGTTGGGGGCAGTCTCTTGCCTGGGTCCCCGGGCACAAGCTCCTGGGTATTTCAGTCATTCAAATCCAGGTGGGGGAGCAACACCACCATGGTCTGCAGTGCCCAGAGGCGGCACAAACGGCAGCCAGCGAGGACGCAGCTCAGAGCTGGCTTGGCTGTGGTGAGGCAGGGTACCTTAGGTGAGTGTGGGCGCAGAGCCGGGGGCCTAACCCTGGCCGGCTGCTCCCACTTGCCTCAGCCCTGGCCTTTGGCAAGGCCCTCAGGTGAGGCCAGGACCATCACCTCCACCCTGCTTGCTCGGAGCCCAGCAGCCTGCCAGTCAGAAAAGGGCAGATCCCACCCCCGCCTGCGTGGTCATTGCCATTTTGTTGTGTGGCTGATCCCTGCATGTTGGAATGTTCTCTCGAAAAATAAATACTCTTGCTTTCGCATATGTCGGGGTGGTCTTTTGTAGGGTGATTTGAGGACCCTAACAGGTTCTTGTGTTCTTTGTGGCCAGGAAGATGTTGTGGCCCAGATGCTGCTGAGGTTTATTAATTACTTTCCAGAATGGCAGCCTCTACCCCATGTGGAAGCAATAGAGCCTCAGGGTGCCGAACGGCGCAGTAAGTAGTACCAAGGTCCTGCCAATACCACTGTCCCTCTTTCAGCCTGTTCTGTCACCAAGGCACCTATACCCCAGCCTGGGATGGGAGTGGCAGTCTCTAAGGTCTCCTTAGTGTCTTGGGGTCTTTCTCCCACCATCTTAATGGGAAGCACCGGCTGCTTCACACCAGTCTGCTCATCATCACCTGTCTGCCCTGTGGGTTCTTCTCCTAACACGCCCTCAATACAGGCAGGCTGAGAACTGTCTGGATACCTAAGATCTGTTTCTCTCCATTATAATTTCTGTCTTTAACTCATTGCTTTCAGGGCTGGAGAGGTGGTTCAGAGGTTAAGAGCACTGGCTGCTCTTCCAGAGGACCCGGGTTCAATCCCCAGCACCCACATGGCAGCTCACAATTGTCTGTAACTCCAGTTCAGAGGTCTTCTTCTGGCTTCCACAGGCACCAGGCATGCACATGGTGCACATACATACATACATGGGGGCTAAACATATACATAAAATAATAAAATAATGTAAATCATTGCTTCTTACTTCCTCCTCCTCTTCTTTTTCTTTTTCTTCTTCTTTCTTCTTCTCCTTCTCCTTCTCCTTCATTTTACTATTCACACTTAGGCAAGCCAAGCTGAAGCCCAGCACTTTGTTGAATGCAGATCTTTCCATCAAGGTCTCTCAAAACTCTTCCACCTTCTGCCTCCCGCCCAGCTCCAGGGCAGCTTCCACATCTTAGGTACAGTCATGTCACTGTCTAGGCCTTCACTGCACCATCTTCTTACCTCTTCTGCAGAGTACTCTGCACACGAAAAACAAGTTCACCGGAAACAGCTTGTTCTGTTGGCAGCAGCCTCTTCTGTCTCATGGCTACAATTTCTCTTGATTGCCGTCATCACTTCGAATGACTGATCCAGGCCATCCAGTCTCACGCAAGTTCACACTCCGACTTCACACGTCACAACATCTTGGAATGTATCCCCTTGGTAAGCAATGCACAAACTCAACTCTTAGTAATAGTTTCTCTACTAGCCCATCTGGGATGTTAGAACAGAACACTATAGCTCGGGTAGATGAGGTTTGTTTCTCTGGAAGCTGGAACCCCAAGAACAAGGTCTGGGGAAACCCAGTGTCTGGTGAGGGCCTGACATTGATGCTGCTTTCCATCCTCACATGGTAGGAGACAGGAAAGCTCTCTGGGCCTCGTCTATAAGGGCACCTGATCCTCACCTCCATGGGCTTTCTGATAGGAATTCCAGCCACGACCCCATGATCATGCATGTCCCGGCCGGTCCGCCGGGTCATATGTTCTACATAACCCATGCACTGCGTGGTCATGTAAATCATGCAGCGCGTGACCACGTGCACGTGATCTACACACAAGCACGGAGTAGCCGCATGGACTAGTGTGCACATGTGCAGGGTGGCCCTTATAAGTCGGACCCCACGTGTTCCCCCGCCCCCTTCCTCACATGGCTTTTCAGCAGGCCTGAACACATCTATCCCTTTCTCCTTTCCTTAATAAAACTCTTGATAGTGGGGTGGGTCTGTCCGGTTTCGTGACTTTTCCTCGCAGGGTAAGAGCGCTGCTGAAAAACCATCACTTTCTCTTTCCACACATCCCAGGAACCACAGAGGATGCTGGTGAACTCTGTCTGCCCATGGCAGCGGAAAAGCAGCCCCTTCAATAGCGTTACTCAGTTGCTAACGTGTCCATACCATGCTCTGGCATGACCCAGATCTTTCCATGGTGCTCATCATACATGTAGCACTCACCTATAACTCTCCTTTTAGTTTCTGTGGTGGTTTGAGTGAGCAATGTCTCCAATAGGCTCAGGTATTTGCAGGCCTAGTCCCCAGTTTGTGGGACTGTTTGGGAGGTTACAGAACTTTCCAGAGGTGGAGAGCTGGTAGAGGAAGCCTGTGACTGGGCCAGCTCTCAGAGTTCACAGCCTTGCTCCA